GGCGTCACGTCCGCGAGGTTCGCGGTCGTCTGTGGGGGGAACCGGGGCGCCGGGCGGCGGCGGCGGCGGGCCAGAGCGCGCAAGGCGGGAAGCCGCCGGGGAGGCCGCGCCTGCCCGGGCCTGTCTCCGCCCGCCGCGCTCCCTGTGGGGCGGCGTCAGGCCTTGGCGCCCAGGGCTGCGTCTGAGGGGTTGCTCGGCGCCGCGGGGACCCTCGGGCAAGCGCGGCCGGACGGGCGCGCCCCTCTCCGCGCTCCTCTCTGGCTCCGCCCGCCCAGCCCCGCATCGCGCTGGCCAAAACAAAAACAAACGTGCAGCCCGCCGGAGGGCTGGCCCGAGCTAGGCGGGAGAGCGGGGGTGGTGACCGGTAGTTGGGAGATCCCGGCGAAGGGGAGCTGTGTCCGATGGACAGACTCGAGTCGTATTCGTCACGGTGGTGTGAAACGGGAGGCACTGTCTGAGAGGAAAGTGGCGCTTGGAAACTAGTTTGCTAGATCCAGTTTTTGTTGCAGGCCGGTCTGCTGACTCAGGTGCTTGGGCCGGCCCCCTTTCCTAATTGTTTTATTCTGCGACGCAGCCCATCTGAGTATGTTAGCGTTTCTCATTGCACACTTGGAAAGCTGGCTCAGAGGATCGCATAGCAGAAGTGGCTTAGCACTTGATCCCAAGTATATTTGACTCCACTTGTCCATTATGTTGCAAACGCAGACATCAGAAAAGAGCTTACTAGAACTACCATCATCAAATATTGACTTAGAAACTATTTTTACACGTGTCAATTAAAACATAACTTTTCGGAGCTGGAGAGATGACTCATTAGGAGCACTGGCTGCTCTTGCAGAGGACCTGGGTTCAGTTCCCAGCACCCATAAGGCGACTAACAGTTGTTTACTGGTGTTCCAGAGGATCCGACGCCCTCTTCTGACCTCCTGGGGCATTGCACAAGGGTGCAGGCAAAAAAAAAAAACAAAAAACACTCATTTAAAAAAGTAAATGAAAAAAATTTTAAAACATGTTTCTCTCTTTGGCTGTCACTATGATGGTCCTCTCCAGAACTTGAGGTGCTGTAAATAAAACACAGTTGTGCTCTTGTCTTGAAGCAGCTTAGGAAGGACTGAGAAAGCAGGAACCCTTTGGTAGTTCGCAAGCCTAGGTTGTCCTCAGTGTGCCATGACATATGCCAAGATGTATGAAGGCTCAGCAAGCACTGGCCTCCTCAACAGTCAGGACTGCCTCACTTCAGAAGCATTTCCATCGGGGGGGGGGCAAATGTTTGTCAGGAGGGA